ACTTTAATGACAATACCTTGCTTGTGGCAATCCATAGCTGGTCCCCACTCCAACCCGAGGTAAGCTGTATACAACTTTTTTTACTGTTGCTTGGTCCGGAAAATTAAACATAACTGAGGCTGTGGTAAAAAGAAAAAAATGTAACTTAAAAAACCATAAATAGTATAGAAATCTGTTTCACTAACAGATAATATATTTTCAAAAGGTTTCTCAGAATTTATTTGGAAAGGTAATCTAGCTACACATTTATCTTCCTGTGAAACAAGGGCCTTTAAAACTTTTAGTATTCTGAAGGCTGGAAAACAGTTATTTCTGAAAATATTCTGTGCTCAGAGTAAAACTAATTAACTTCTTTGGCATTAACGTGTGTCCCCATTTTGAAAGAAATATAGATTTTGTAGTCCAGGGGAAATGTGGTATGTCACACATTCAAGTCTTTTGTTCGGTTGTAGAGTCTCCCGATGTACTGTGTATAATTTAGTGCAGTGACTGGCGCATTCAGAACTTGCCAGGCCAGGGATCGACTGACTGCTTTCCCTTAACAATTGAAGAACAAAACTTACATTATTGCTCCCTCATCGGGACGAGAGAGTTGACACACCTCAACAACAATCTGTGATTGAGTCAGTTTCAAGGTAGCATTTACCACTGCTGGAAACTGGGCACATGTATGCTGTCTGTTGAAGAGGTACTCGTGACATGCTTCTAACACACATTTTTATGTTTGGCAGAATTATATTTTTTTAATAATTTCAACAGATAATATGTTAATATTTCTTTTTTTTCAATTATCAATTTTTCACTACTTATTATTTTCACAATTATGCAAAATTAAATTAAGCATTTTTTTATTTTTATCTATTTAAATTTTCACAGCTGTGGTAAAGTATTGGGGGAGTGAGAAAATTACTTAATGACAGAAGAAACTGAAACTAAGAAAGTTAATCTTTGTAAATCATTAAAATACAAATTATCTACATCATATGTCAATATACAGAAAGTAAATATCCTTTAATCAAAGTCTAATAAATTCTCAAACTGAACTGTTCTTTCGTTGTCTATGTAAATTCTGATGATCACCTATGGAAATATTTTGTCATCAAT